TTAAGGGTAATTAATGGCTCTTTCTCCAGGCCCCAGAAGTAAGTTGAAAGTGATATTTTTGAATCTGCAGAAGTAATTTTTTAAAGTCAATAGCAATTTTCTCAGCATTTGGCAATTAGTGCTTTTTACAGAAGCCTTTATTTGAACAGTGAGAAAAAGAGTTTAATAATCTTCTCTCTGAAAATGACTTGGAGACAATTCTTTTGGATATTGTTTTCTTATTACAACATTTTTCTGATAAAACATAATTATTAAGAGTACACAACTTATTGAGCACTTAGCTTGTGGTATCTGCTGCAGAGTTGGAGATCTCTTGGATGAATACACATATAATCAGCTTTCTGCATCACCCATATAATAGCAAAAGTAGCTGTTACTTTGGATGAAGAGCTTAAAGACCCTTAGAGATTCAGACTAGATTATTATCTTACAATTAGGTTTAATTGACACTGATACTGTAGATTTCTAATGTAAGAGCCATTTGACACATTATGCAGCAAGACCAACCTGGCCTTGCTTGTTGCAGAGAACTACAGCTAATCTTCACCCTACTGGTTCAGTGAGAGCATGTGCTTATGCTTCATATTTTCTGAGATGCCCCTACATATGTTGTGTTCAAGGCGTTAAGATGCTTGTACATCAAAAAGAGGCAGGATGAAACCTGGACCGTGATGCAATATCTTGCTTCTAAAGCATATTTTGCTAGTTTATAAAGGGAAGAAAAAGTTTCTAGCCCTTCCAGGTGCAGGAAAAATGTTGGCCAACTATGCTAATAATATTTACTGCAGCCATACAAAAAGAAAGATGCATTTCATCATTTTCTAATTCTTTTGGTCTCTTCCTCCTTTTGTTTATTACATCATTCTATACCTCTGTCTCCGTTTGTGTAATTATAATTTTGTTTGCAATCCGTATATAGCTTAACTATAGGCAAAGAAAATTCATTCTGAGTTTTCAAGCTGCATAAATTTGAGTGGTAGAGCAGTTTGTTCTTTTTTTCCTAATATGCAGATAGTAGTTTTATCCTTGTCTAGAGATGGAATCACCTTTGTACTTTCTGTTCTTCGCATTGCATTCCTTCTGTTGACAGGATTTGAAGTGACTGTATTATGCTTTTCTATTAGTGTGTGTTTTGCTATAGGCTGCTTAACACTCATCTCAAATAGCTTTTGCAAGGTTAAAGGAATGCAGCTTGGTAACAAGTTTGTGTCATTTTAAATATATACCTTCCAGTAAATAAGGAGGAGCCTAGCAATCAATCCCTTTTAGTGTGTTATATGTTTCACCTGACAACTAAACCATCTATTGATTAGCCATTACTTTGTTAGATAATCCTGTGTCATTGAAGCCACTGTAAAAATTAAACTCTTTAAAATGCTTTACCCTAGCAGCAGTGTGAAATTGAAAACTTGTTCAGAATTATAGCCTGCTTTCACCAAAAGGGTAGTTTTCAACAAACTGGTTTATGCTTGCATTCTTTATATGCAGTATAAAACTGTATTAAAACACTCCAACACAAAGCTCTTTGCCTCTGGCACAGAATCAAGTTGCCATTTCAAACAGTGCTACCCATGGCCTTAAAGAATAATCTTTTGGTGACTGGAGAGTTGATGCTTGGACACTTCACGTTTCTGAGTTAGGACTGAATTAGAAATGTTTAATAGTTAAAACATGAAATTTGAACATGGACAATTAGAAGTGTGTCCAACCTCTGTGAACCCTCAAAGAAGAAATGACAAGTTAGAATATTAGGAGCTTGTTACTTAGCACTGTACTGTTTAGCTCATTGTTAATTAATACCTTTTAATCAATTAAAAGTTATTCCTAATTTGAAAGGACAGTATTTTTAAACAAAGTATTTTAATTTTTAAATTCCGTGCCTAGGAGCTAGGGTGCTACCTTAGGAGAAGCACTCTCCCCACATCATTCATGATGATGGGATTATCTCTAAGGTGTTGCATATCACAGTAAGTGTTGGTGTAATTGAAGAGAAAAATGCCTGGTTTCTTCATCAGAACACTTTGTTGACCATATGCAGAATTAATTTTTCAAAAGTTGTGAAGTTTGATTAACTCAAATATTTATAACTCTGTTTTTCACTTTTCAGAAGGGTCTGTTTAAGGGAAGAATTCTTTTATCAATGATTGACAGGTTTTGAAGATAGAATGTCCCAGGTCAAATCCCTGGTATACTCTAGTTACAAGAGTAGTGAGCTGAAGATGACAAGGATTTTTGCCCAAAGTCCTGGAAAGCCATTCCCAATCAGTAGGCAGGATTGTTTTAGACAGGCAAGTAATCCAACTGGCTATGAATATTCAAGTAGATCTGTGTAAATTCTATTGATACACAATTTATCTTCATTTTAAAACCATCTTCAAATTTTCTTCCTTGAAAGTAAGAAGATAATATATGAATGCCCAGAAATCAGAATTGCAAATATCAGTCTCTACACAGGTTTATATAGATGTGCAAAATCTCCTGTATCTCCCTGTACTTTCAATACTTTTATGGAACAAATTGAGCTTGATGGAATGAGACTTTATACTTACATGACTGACCCATCTGAAAACTCAACATTGTCCATGTCACAAACCGTCAGTTTCTCAAACTTTATCATTGTAGTAGCAGTGCCGCCCTAAATCAAGAAAGCAATTGTTCAAACTCCTCAAGGATAGTTAAGCCAGCAGCTACAACAGATGGTTTGTGCGGCTGTGCTTTTTACTGTCCAGAATGAAATAGGAAGAACTTAAGCCTATCATAGGATATCCTTCCATGAGCTGTGCATGTTTCAGAAAATGAGGCTTTTGTTTTCTGTCACGGTTGAATTTTATTATTTTCCCACTATTCTGCCTTTATTTAGATATGTGTTAATTTTTTAATTTAGTTTTCTTTAAATCTTGACATCTTTTCAAAGTGCAAAAACTAGATTAATTTAGCAAATAATAGTAGTTTAGATAATTAGGGGGGAAATAAATCTTCTGGAAAACAGAGAGCTATATTGGTTGTTCTGGGTTTTTTGGGCTCTTTGGCCGTGTTCTGAAGGTTGTTCTTCCCAACGTTTCGCCAGTCTCTGTGGCCAGCATCTTCAGAGGACAGCAACCTTGCTGTCCTCTG